TACTGGGGTTTTTTTGTTTTTATTTTTTATTTTTTGTTTTTTTGTTCTTTGTGTTTTTTTGTGTTTTTGTTTTTGTTTTTTTGCTTTTTTTTACAGCTGACAACAACAGAAGTCCCTGTGAAAATTACTTTTCTTTCTGTTGCTATTTAAAGTTAGCCACCAGTGTATGTTTAAAGCATTTCCCACACATTCTGCCTGGAGAAAGACAGCTCCCTATCCTGTGTGTGTCATGTCCCGCCAGGTGTGATCGACCGATGGGAACTCATCCAGGCGCAGGCCCTGAGCAAGGAGCTGAGGATGAAGCAGAACCTCCAGAAGTGGCAGCAGTTCAACTCTGACCTGAACAACATCTGGACGTGGCTGGGGGAGACGGAGGAGGAGCTGGAGCGGCTGCAGCACCTGGAGCTCAGCACCGACATCCAGGCGATCGAGCTCCAAATCAAAAAGCTCAAGGTAGCTGCCCTTGGCCTCTTCCAGTGCGGCCAGCCAGAAAGCTGCCACGTGGGACGCCGGGTCCGATGAAGCCACTAGCTCTGGCTGGTCTGCTGTCACCTAGCAGCAGGGGAGCTGTGAACAGAAATGAGCAGGGATGCTCTCCTCTCCCCCAGCATCCCAAGTCAGTATTTATAGAGAAGGTTTGGAAGGGCAGAGAGATGCACCACGTTGCAGAACTAGCCCTCCCCCCAACACCCCCCCGTAAATAACCATGTATGATCTAATGACTTGGTTCCTAAGAGATGACCAATCAAAAGTTCACGAAACATCCAGGTACCTCTGGGACCTATTTAACCTCTTTCAAAGGAAATACGGAAATGACCAGGTTCCTGCAGGTCTCTCTCTAGAGCTAGAATGGTTTCCTCTCCAAGATCATATCTTTGTGAGTTTGCAGAGACCTATTGAAATTGTTCGGCATTCTGGAATCAACAGAACATCTGAAATAGATTATAGTAGTGGCAGAAGGAATTTTCAGTGTAACGAATAAAACAAAACGAAACCATGGGAGTAATGACAGTAAAACACCTGGCACGGGCATTTGACTTTGGCCTGGACGGGTGCAGTGCCCACGGTAATGTTCTTTAGCTCTGTCTCTAGGTCTTAATGGTCCTCCTTAGCAGAGCTCTTGAAATGCATTAATATGTGGGGACTTTTGCAAGAATACTGTGGATTGAGAGCTCAGTTTCGTTTTAATAGCTCCTTCAGTCCTTTCGTTTTGTTTGGAGAACATCAAGATGTGCTCTTCCTTAGAATGGAGTTACCCAGGCTCTCTAGGCTCAATGATTAAGCGTGCTGCCTTTGTGTCTCACTGGTTTCATGGACGTTATTTCTTTTGGGGCGACGTTTTTGTGGCTTATTTCGGTTGTTGTTTGGTTTAAATTGTCAAACAGAAAAGTTTGTTGCTCAAATGTCTTCATATAGAACAGCTGCTGCACTAGCCCCATCAGTTTGCGGATGAAGCATCAGATGGGAGATGTGATTAACATTATCTGGATTATAAAATGCATTTTTCTCTAGAGGACTTAAATTATTTTAGTTTGGCTCTGGGAAAGTGTAAGGCAGTGTGCACTATGACCAAACTCCTTAAAAAGTTGATGAAGCAAATGTTGGCCAGAGTCTGAGACCTGAGTGAGATTAGGGTGGAGAAGTGAGACCTTGAAAGTCAGCTTGTGTGATAAGAAAGAGCCACCCTCTGCCTTCCCAGTCCTTCCTATCTGTTTACTGAGGATGAATCCGTGGAATAACCAAGTATCTTTCACAATATCTCTTGATCTTATAATATCTCTGTGGCTGAATCTGTATTACTGCATTTTAAGAATCTACTGAAAAATAAAGTTAAGACAAGCTGGAGACATAACAGAAATGTTGAGGACTTATAAGATAATGTAGCTGGCGTAGATGTGATTTGCTGACCCTAACTAGTCTGAGGATGTTTAAACAGTACCCAGATACTGAATTATTAATGCATAATCATGTGCTGCATGAGTTCTTAGAAAAGTTGTAGATTTGTGGGAAATGCGTAAAGCAAAAGCCAGTCGCCTAGTTTTCTGTGATCTCAAACTAAATTGGTTAGCTGTTGAAATACCCAGTCCGTTCTCTTTGCCATCACAGGAATGTGGCTTGTGACATAGGCAGGGTTCTCACCCTGTGGGCCACTATCTGTGCCTTTCGAGTCACAACAGCTGGAGGCTAGGGCCTGAGAATCTGCTTTCTTAGCAAGTTTCCTATTTTATCCTTCTGCACACAACTGTGACTACCACTGGTCTAGTGAAATGGGATTCTCACGCTAGAATATTCCCTGCTGTTGAACTCCTGTGATGTGAGTCGAGTTAATCATTCCCCTTAGTTCATTGCACAGGGTCATTGATGCTTCCTGCAAAGTTACTCTTAATTTTGCTTATTTTACCTGTTTCCTCCACTGTTTTTTAATTTCCATTCCCGAAGCCTATGGCAACCATTCGTAAATACTTCGCGAGTATTCTTACTAAATTCTTGGTTCATTTATACATGAAAAACATGGATTTGTGTGTGTGCACATGCATTTTAAATCACATGAATGCTAGTTTACAACACACATTGTTCTGTTTCTGACTCTTTCACTCTACCCCGTATTTTAAGGTACATTCAAGTTGTCGAAAGTACATCTAATCCATTTCCTCTGTCGTCCTCAGTGATGTGCACCACCACTCTATCCTATCTAGCTATTGTGTTAAGGCCGGTCTTAATTAATGGATCTCTTAATTTGAGTGAAGCATTTCCTGAGGACTTAAAATAAGTTTTACTTGTTTTTATTGCCATATTCTTTGTTTGGTTGTTCTCCTTTCTCTTTTTAGGAGCTCCAGAAGGCTGTGGACCACCGCAAAGCCATCATCCTCTCCATCAACCTGTGCAGCCCCGAGTTCACCCAGACTGGCAGTGAGAAAAGCCAGGATCTGCAAGATCGCCTGTCCCAGATGAACGGACGCTGGGACCATGTGTGCTCGTTGCTGGACGAGTGGCGGGGCCTGCTCCAGGATGCACTGATGCAGTGTCAGGTTCGTGGGGCTTTGGGCGGATTATGCTCCAGAGTCTGTCATTTCCAGCGTGGCTGAGTCTGTGATTTCATTTATCAAGGTCACTTACAGGGATGCAATTACTTCCCAAAGTCACGATTTGAATAGGAGAACTTTGTGTCCAAACTATTCATTATACTGGAGAATTTGTACATCTGAACAGGAGTTCAAGCAGCTGGACCCCATCTTTTACCCAGCTAACGAGATTATTCCCACAAGTTTATCTCAGCCCCAACTCATTCATTCATTCATTCATTCATTCATTCAACACATATTTACTGAGCACATCGGCAGACATTTCCTGAACGTGAAAGTGAGCATTACAAATATTTACTTACCCATTCTACCACAATTATTTGATGAGTTCCCACTCTGTGACAGATATTGTGCAGAGCGGTCAGGGTACAGCACTGTCTCTACTTTTGTTGGAGAAGACAAACAATAAAAATGCAAATAAATGCTTAATCAAGATGCTTACAGGTGTGGGTGATAAGAGTAACTGAGAAAAGCCACTTTGGGAAAGAGGTAAGGAAATGTCTGAGTCTTGGAGCTGACACAGAAGGGATATTGCCATGAAAGAGACAGAGCCAATGGGATGTCCCAGAAGCAGGAAAGGCTTAGTGTCTTTAAGGTCAGAAAAGAGGCCAGTGTGATCAAAATGTAGTCAGAGAGGCAGGGAGTGATAAGAAAGATTAGGGACATGGTCAGCAGCCAGATCATGCAGGACCTTGTAGGTCCTGGCGAGGAGTATTTTGCATTCTGAGCACAACATAAGCCTTCTTTCCAGGTTTGTATGTGCCCCAAGAAAACCTTGAAAGCAGGTACCCAAGCTGTTGTTTCCCCCTGCTCCCCCGCCTAGTCCAGTGCTGTCCACACAGAAGATCTTCAGTAACTATACATTGAATAAATGAATGAACAAATGGATGAATGAGGGATATAAGGGACTGGATCAAGGCCTTACAAGAGGGGGAGGTTTGAATACAGAGAAGAGAGGGGAACAGAGTTGCTTCCTTCCAAACTGTGCAGTAACCCTAGAAATTGAGTATTTGATGCCAGTTTTTCCTTATGTCTAAATCTCCCTCACATAATAGACTAGATGCTTTTGGTGAGAATGTGAACTTAGATCATTACAATAGCGCCATTGCCTTCCTCAGAAAGGAGTCGTGTGTAAGATCTTAAATCCAACGTGCCTTTGCCAGTGGTAGCAATTGTAAAGAAGGGAAATTTAAGCTGCGAGGGAAAGAACAATATATTAAGATGGTTTTATACTCCATGTTTCCCCCCCCCCCATAGGATTTCCATGAAATGAGTCATGGTTTGCTTCTTATGCTGGAGAACATCGACAGAAGGAAAAATGAAATTGTCCCTATTGATTCTAACCAGGATGCAGAGACACTTCAGGACCATCACAAGCAGCTTATGGTAAGATATGTGGCCTCCTGCAGCCTCTGGTTATTTTTAGCAGCGATCCATGTCATTTACAGAAAAAGAATGTAGGTGATTATATATAATACATATATATAAATATATAAAATATATATAACATATATGTATAACATATATATTGTATATGTATATTTACCCTTTGCATACCAGTCTCCAACTTCCTCTTTTTCATTCATCATGGTTTCCAATTTACATGAGGCAAACATGCCCATAGGAGATGACATCCACCATCTTTAGAATCTGCTTCTAAAGTCATTGCTCAATTGCAGAGATCTTAGAAGTTCTTCATCTTAGATTGGTTTTATTAAAAGAGATCTTTGGCAAGTTATACTTATTTTTAATTTAAACTGTATTTGTTACATCTACGTATAAAGTAAAAGTATATTGGGTGGCTTAAATTTTATTTTTATGGACATTGAAACTATTAAAATAGAAAAAGATGCTTAAGACTTCTTAGAGGAAATTAAGGGTACCAGATTTAACAGTGTCCTTGTCACCAAGTTTTGTGAAAACTAAGACAAGGGAAATATTAAAAGTTATTTTCATCACCTGACAAAAAGAAACCATACCAGTTCTCAAGGAGAAAGGAACTTATTCTAGCACTGAATTCAAAAGGAAATTTGCAGAATCTCTATGTAGATTCTTATACAATGGACTTTGGACAATATAATGCAAGTGTACTTAAGGGACTTTATAGAAGACAAAGAAGTATATTTAAGTTCCATTAGGAGAAAATGATTTGCATTTCGTAGCTTTCTGTATTTTTAAAATGTTATTTCTGAACATTTAGTACTCACTAACCTAACCAACAGAATTGGTAGCTTTCAATTTAGTACCGCAAATGTCTTAGAAACCAAGAGGAAATAGCTATGCAGTGGCATTTTTACTGACTTTTGACCTGAGACATTAGTTGTAAATGATGAATTACTCATATTTCCTTTAAAAAAAAACCCTGAACAAATCCAGAGTATACTTAGACATGTGTATAAAATATTACATTATTAAAAATATTTGTGGGGCACCTGGGTGGCTCGGTTGGTTAAGCGTCCAGCTCTTGGTTTTGGCTCAGGTCATGATCTCACAGTTAATGAATTCAAGCCCCGCATTGGGCTCTCTGTCTCTGCTTGGGACTCTCTCTCTCTCTTCTCTCTGGCCCTCCCCTGCTCTCTTTCTCTCTCTCAAAATAAATAAACTGAAAAAAAATTTTTTTTAATATTTGCTATATTTATATGTTAATACTTCACTGTTTAAAAGAATATCTTATGTCTCATTTGCATGATACTTTCTATTTTAGGCATTTTCACATTTATTCACCAAGTTGAACCTTCCAATATACTTACTGTGGACCAGGCAGGAAGTAGTATTATCATTTTACCCAATGGGAACACTTGAGATTGGAAAGGTTCAGGGGCCTTATAGACTGTTTTTGGCAGAGGCAGGGTTAGAACCCAGACCCCTTATTCCCGAATCCATGGGCTGCTTCATTCTTCCCCGTGTAAGCACAGCATTCAGATACTCAGGTATAATTGTCCACTAGGTTAAACTGATATCATCCCGCCCTTTGGGAATTTCCCCCGCTTATCAGAAATTCTTCGTAAAATATTTCTTATTGTATGCGTAGCAAATAAGGCATGAGCTATTGGAATCCCAACTCAAAGTGGCCTCACTGCAAGACATGTCTTGCCAACTACTGGTGAATGCTGAAGGCACAGACTGTTTAGAAGCCAAAGAAAAAGTCCATGTGATTGGAAATCGGCTCAAACTTCTCTTGAAGGAGGTCAGCCGACACATCAAGGAGCTGGAGAAGTTATTAGACATGTCAAGCAGTCAGCAGGTAAGCTCTAAGCAGGCATCATCGTGTAGTGTTTCTTACCAAAGAAGCATCATCTTCATCCATTTTTAGAAGGACTTTGAATGTGGTACTTGTCGGAATAGAGTGCCCACTCTCAATCACTGCTCTTACGAGTCCTGTGTCAAAATAAAAGAAAGCGACTCAAACTTTTGTGATAGGACACTGCTTTTGATTCTGTTACATCAAAAAGACCTCTTGTGATTGTTACTGCTAACCCTTCACCATCACTATTGTGGCCTTGTATTTTACCTTGTTGGTTTAAGAATGCGCACGTTTGCAGTAACACAGCTGTGGCAGATCATAACCAGTGGTCGCATGTGAGTTTTGCGTTTGAACCGTAGAAGGCACGAATTCTCCCGGCAGCAGTTCATTCATGGAAAATGTCCTCTGCTCATTTGCCTTTTATATATGTATTTTTTTCTTAAATCTACTACCTCGTGGTAGTATTATGGGTTTTGAGAAATTCATATGTAGACCCAGAGAGGCTGGGTAAGACTTCAGACATTCAACTGTGAGATCCTGTTATGAACACACGGACACCCTGCCCTTCTCTAAGCATGCAAAAGCACATGCTACTCTGAATAACAGAGGAGTGCTAGAAATACTACAAAAGCAGGCTCCTGGATGAGTATCTTTTGCTTCTAACTCAAATGAATTGGTTTCTCTCTGGCCTGAGAGGCCCGTAGCTGAAAGACAAGATTCCTTCCCCTCCTTCACTTCCACTCGTCCACATCCACGCCGCTGAGAAACAGTAAAGCTACAAGCAACATAGTAGGAGCAAAACTATACCTATATTTTCCAGCCGGACCAACTTTACAACCAGGAAAGCCTAATCCCCTAGAAGATTAGGTTCCGTTCTTGTAGTTGTCTGATTCTGTTTTCCCCAAGGAGTGGTTTGGTTTTTGTGGAGGGTGGGTGGGGATGGGCTGGGAAATGCATCGTGTATCACCAGGCCATCACAGCTTTGGAACACAGAGCCATTAAAAGAAACCGTTTCCTATGTAGGATTTGTCTTCCTGGTCTTCTGCGGATGAACTGGACACTTCGGGATCTGTGAGTCCTACGTCAGGAAGAAGCACCCCGAACAGACAAAGAACGGTAACTTTCCACTAGTCGTTTTCACTTGGCCCGTGGGAGGGAACACCGGGGAGTGAGAGTGTCTAAACCTACTGCAGGGACCACAGGCTCCCCCCCCGGGAAAGCAGGAGTCCCCGTACGGAAGAGGGTTATCACAGTAACACAGAGAAGAGTTGTTTCCTCAGCCAGGCCGCGGGCCCTCCCCGCACGCACTCGGGAATGGAAAAGAGCAGTTCTGGTTTTCAAAAAAAATAGGGCTCAACGTGTGGTTGGTACAGGGAGACAAATTACTTCTCTTGCTCCGAGGGCCATCGCTACAATGGTGTTCCCTTGTTCCTTTGGTGGCTCCTCCCTTCAAACTACCACCACCATAGTCCACCTAAAAAAGTAGGTTCCGTGTAAAGGGGCGCCTCAGCCAGAAGCAGACAAAACTGTGAGTGTCTCATGAAACCATTGAATTTATGAGACAAGCGGAGGTTCTGTTGACTCGCAAGCAAAGAGACTCCTGAAGGTGGTTCTCCAGGTGTTTGTTGACTGTGCTGCCCCCCAAGAGGCAACAGCTCAAGAAGACTCACCCACAAAGCCTTTCAGGGGCTGCCTCACTGGCATTCTGTGAGGACAAAAAGACGAATCTGGCCCCTGCTCCCCTCTATACTTTGATTTCTCTGTGTAATTAGAAGCTTGTTCTGTTTTGTTATTTATTTATTGATTTTTGTCTGCCTTTATGATTATAGTCATTTTTATTCCATCCCATTTTCCTTAGTTTTTAGAAATATTGATTTCATTTGTACTTTTTTTGTTATAAACACTTAAGTTCTATGCTGATAAATGTTATTATCTTATTTAGGATTGTTTTTTACTACATTCGCTAGTTTCCTATAGATCCTAGTTTAAGAATGTGAAGGAATACTGGCTTTTCGAGTCAAATTTTAGCCCTTATTTAACCGATCAGGTCTTCTTCCCTCTACAAAGAACAGTATCCTATTGCCATTGTTATTTTTTAGCTGCCAAGGATTTTAATACGAATTCAGTGTTCTAGAAGATGAAAAAATATGGCATGGCATGGCATATGGAACTTTATATTTATTGTAAGTAAATACAGAGAGATCCTTGGCTTGTGTAGAGTCATTTATGTTTCTACCATGCGAAGTGGGGGAAGATACACCCACTGTGGTGGGGACTCCTGAGCCAGAATTCATGTTTATTCAGTGACTAATGATAGAGATGTGAATCTGTTTCGCTTCTTCAACAGAAGAAAAGCCAGTTTCCTGACTTCATGGGTACTGATCATTTCATTTGATTTGTTTTTCTTTTGCTGCACTTTTAGTTTAATTTTTTTTTCAGTAGCTTGTCTTTATTTGCCTGGACTGAACATTCTTCTTTCTTTACCCCTGTTCATTGCAAACAGCCACGAGGCAAATGTAGTCTCTCACAGCCTGGACCCTCTGTCAACAGTCCACATAGCAGGTACCTTATTCTCCTGGTTTCCACACTGTTCTAGAACTCCAAGAGGATGATGAAAATTGTCCATGATTTAGGTAGGCCTCTATCTGGTCTTCCTCAGGGTAGTTGAGAAATTACTTGTTTCGTCCCACACCCTTTCTCTACTAAATTGGGAAAGACTTTTCTAAGTGCAAAGTATAAGTAGAGCTGAGAGCACAAAACATTTGGATCCCACCAAAATTTTATCTAACTATACGTAGGCCATCTGGTACTTTTCACCAAATTGTATTCTGCGTGCGCTTAAGGATTCCATGCGATGGATGGCACAGCCACCGTTCGATTCGTGGCAGACTTTCATCATCCTCTTTATTTCTAGATTTTACAATAAGACAGGTAATAGATCAATGAATTATTTACCATTCACAGAACCCACAGATCTGAATAAAATATACTAACATCCCCAGCTTTTTATTTTATTTTCATGTTTTATCCAGATTGTGGGTTTTGAATTCTCAAAATGGCAAGTCCTAACTTGGTATTATTTAAAACTTATAAGCACCTTCTCTCTTCTGCTTATCCTAAAACGTCTCTTCTGCCAGCACACTCAGTCACTCACCTTCCTGACACTTGGCAAGCTCTTTCACGCTGGAAACAAGGGCAGTCAGTGCCCCTGCCCGGGAACGTCCAGAGAGCCTACTCACAGCTGCCACTCCGCGCTTTACATCTGGCTTCCAACAGTCCATTGTTTCCGCACTTAGCGGTGCTTTGCCTTCTTCGTTGTTGGTGTGATGTCTGTGCTCTCCTGCCCTTTCACTAATCAGTTCATATTCCCTGAGACATCTTTTTAAAAAATGAAAACACTGTCTTTGGAGCTGATTTTTCATTCCAGTCCCAAGCAGTTCACTGCTAAAGTAGTTTGCCCCTCTGGAAACTTCTCACCACCGAGCTGGAATCGAAATTCTTGAAAGGAGGGTGAGGGGTAAGGAAGTGTAAAACTGTAAACAACCCCTGAGTAATAGTTTTAGTTTTCCAGCTGTGTGCTGAAGAGACTGGATATTTTATTTGGTCATTCCTACTCAGCCGAAGCAATGCAGAATGTACTTTGATGTGCTTTCTGGTTTTAAGTCTCCCTTGACTGTACTTTTTCTTTTTTTCATTCCCTTTGGTTTGGTTTGGAGACAGTTTGGGGGGGGGGGCGGGGTTTGTCCATAATGAAATACCAATAATGAAATATGAATGGAGAAAAACTCACAAGGATTTTTGAAGCTAATGATGGACTTCTACCAGTGCCCTGATGTTGTCTTAGTCCCCTACAAGAAAAGCCTATCATCTACTATAGCCAGATCATTGTTTTGTCCATCTTTTCTCCACAAAATGCTGAGGTGCCATGAACAGTGATGGGGACTGTCCCCATAGCAGTCCTTCTAGGATACCAGAGATGAATTCTTTGGCTGACGTACATGATGGTGATGAGAAGGGAAAAGCTCTTATATTATTCTGCGACACCAATGGCAACCGCCTTTTGGTTTCCCGATACCTCATCAGTCTGCTCCCCCAATTCTTTCAGACAGTCGCACAGGTCTTCTGAAAATGTCAAAGGCATCATTTCTTAGGGCAGCAAGTGTTTCAACACGTCTCCTAACAGGGCTTTGCAGCTGGGACAGCCACATTCTCGCTGTGATATCCACAAGGCGCCTTTCAGCTCTGCTCTGTCCAGCGCTGTTTATTAACATCTTTCTGAGCACACGGCACAGTATTTACTTTGCTACTTAGAGGGTCTGGAATACAAGTGATCTACACCCGAATGGCAGACGTCATCAAACACCTTGGCAGACAGGCTGTGGTTGAACATTCTTGGACCTCTTGACTTTTTGGCACTTCTGCTTGGGTGCATCCAACCCGACAATGGAATGCAGAGTCTGCTGGGAAAGAATTAACTTCACTCATAATCCAAGTTGTCACGGTGTTCCTTTACATTGACACTTGAGTGTACCTTGTGTTTGATCTTGCACTGGTCCAGCAAATTTGAAAGGCTATGGCAGAAGCACAAAGTTTAGAACGTTGACCCCAGCAATCTACAATAGAAAATTTTAGACACGTGTTCTTCCTAAGAGACGGAAGAGGTGGAGGTGGAAGAAAGTGGGTATCAGTTTGAAGGAAGGGGTTCTTATATTATTTTTGTTGTTTAAGGGGTGATGTGAATGCAGTCGCTTATCTGCTCTATATGGTTTCAGTTTGATTTTATGGCCGCTGTTCTATGTCCTCTTACATAATATTCTAAGCCCACATATAGATTGATGCCATTATTTACTGTACACATACTATGTTTAGACCCTGGGCTTATAAAAGTAATATCGTATGGCTCCTGCCATTAAAAGACCTGCAATGTCTCAGAATCTACAGATTCCCTAAATCAGTTACAAGGAGCTCCTCAAGACTCCTGAAAAATTATAAACAGTTGAAAAATATCATGCGTATATTCACAGTACCTATTCATCATTTTTTAGATCAGAGAGATTTAAGAAGTAATGCTTACAATGGTCCAGCCGGACTGTTTTCCTACTTTTGACTTAAAATTGTCTAACTCGATCACCAGGAAGTCTTCAAAACTCTACTGTGGATTATTTGAAGTTGACAAATAGAAAGATTTAACTCCACATTCCAGAAAGACAAAGGAATAATTGCCCTGTAGTCTGGATACAGGGAAGTGATGACCTCATTCCAAAACCTAACCAAAAATTCTAACATGCAAAACTTCCTTGGACACCTTTGGTCTCTAGCACCTTCTGCACAGAGGACCCAGATGGAATGAGAAGTCATTCCATGAGTCAGTTTCTTATGGAATTTTTCTTCAAGTTTTTTCTGTCAGGCTGCTCCCTGGGGACCCGCTTACTCATAGCCTTCAAAGAGCCTCCCTTCTAGGACAGGCTGGCACCACAGCTGAGGACAGTTATGGGATAAGGCTCCAATATGTTTTTCTTTTCTGATATTTTGAGGTGTGCATTCCCAGTGTTTCCCAGGAACAAGTCAGCCACTTTGGCAAATGCGTCACATCTTTGAAGGCACTACTAATGAATCAGGACTATTTTCCTGGGAGAAAAGGCGGAGTACAGCTGATTCCCAATGGTAGGAGTTAGCACACCTTTGCTTCAATAGGATGATAAGATAATAATGATAAATTGTGACATTTATTTAGCACTTAAAGTGTCCTGAGCACTATGCGAAGCACTGAATATGCATTACCTCATTTAACCCTTACCACACCCCCAGGGCATGGCTATATTCCCAATTGTACAGACAAGGACACTGAGGATTAGAGGCATGGAGATTTAAGATTTGAACCAGGTCTACCTGACTCTGGATCGTAGCTCATGAATCACTTCACTCTGCCAAAGGGCTGTTGGTGGGTGGGATCCTTTACACAGCCAGCTCCCAGGCTTGGACTACCACAGCCTGCCTTAAACTGCTTCAGACGGGCCAGTTCGAACAATAAAAAATATTATTGTTTTTTGTTGTTTTTTTTTTGAGAAGCCGGAAATCCTAAATTGATTCTGGAAATTTGTCTTCTGTGCCACATATGCAGGGAACAAAGATTATTCACACAAGAGCAGGCAGCAAGATCAGACACAACCTGGGTATCTCCTCAAAATAAATTCCTACTACTATCCTGGCAGTGTCAACTAACAAGTAACAAAATGAATTGAGAGTTTCTTTTCGCTTGCCTTTAAATAATTTTATGCCCACAAGTAATTCATTTTGTTCTCCTTGATCGTGTAAACGCTTTGAGATGAGTCATCCTTTGTACACGCTGTCAGGACTCTTACATGCCTTGCTCATACTTGTCTTTTGTGCGGTGTGTTGTTCTATACAGCTTCCTCGGCTACCATCTTCCTTCTCCCACAACTATACGCATTTTGGGAAAGAGATGAAAGCAACTCCTGGACAAGTCTTTACCCCAAAATTTGAATGAGTGAGAAAAATTATAAAATAAATATTTACTTGTAGAGAATAAGCACATTTTGGCTGGACAGAAATACCTCCATCGATTAAGTTCCTTGGATAAGTTTACACACTTCATTTTTCCTCCTCTATAAACACAGTTTCAGCTGGCATCCATTGAAGTAGTAAGGCCATTGGAGAACGATGAGCGACCAATCAGCTGTCTTTGTTCTTTCCCTTGTCAAATTTCCCAAGACTTTTGATGCAGGTCTTAGGTCTTAGGTCTTAGGTCTTAGATAAATACTAAAAGTGCCCCCTGGTACCATTATCCTGTTGGTATCAGAAGCTGTAGCTCAGGCTCGTCCTAAGAAGAGGCAACATTGGGCATGTTGACACCCTGGTAGTTGCCCCCAGTGGGTGGCAGTTTTTCTCAGTAGATAACGTGGACATTTCTAGGAGCAGTCAGCTGCACAGAAGCTTACTAATCACTGTGTGTTCTCTTTGTCCCTATCTCGGCCCATTACGTCTCCCTAGGTTAGCATTTTCAACATTAGAAGGCACACACTAATTACATTTTAATAAGGAATGCTCTGATGCTGTTAAATGTGCCATGTCCTTCAACAGAGCCCATATTCCAAAGATGATGACCTTTCTAGTTTTTCTCAGGAGTGGACTTGTCAATGGGCAGCCCTTGTTTTGATCTTGATCTTTGGCTTCATTGCTAAAAGAAGATAATAATTGACAAACAGAGGCTATTCACCTCTGTCAGCAAAATTGCATTATCAATTACACACATAAATGTGTCCATAACTGATGTCCTTAAATGTCTTCTAAAGAAAAAGGCTCAGTTGGAAATCCCCTCACTTTATTTAAATGTTGAATAATGAGGAAATGTGGAGCTGTCATCTGTCCTCCTGTTGTAACTCACCCAGTGACAGGTGGCAAGTGTTGTTTGTCAGGGCGTATTTTCAGGTCAAGGGAAAGATATATTGAAGGAAAATTCAATCCAGAGTTCATAGGTAGCTGTCTCATTCTTCTCACGACACTTTAAGGCAAACCATTGAATTCATACACTGTCACAGCCAAAATGATTTTAGGATATTCATGCACCCTTGTCTTTGCAAATGAGAAACATGAAGACCAGAGAGACTAAACTACTTGCCCAAGGTTGCACAATTGCCTCAAACAAAATGCCCTCGTGTCCATAGACTGACTTGATCTGTGGGGCTTCATGATTAGAGGCATTTGGTTTAGACACGAGGAAATCACTCACTTCCAAATATTGTAAGATACAAGTATCGTCTCCTTTGTTTCTACACGTGAGATACCTGTGACATAAATGTGACCTGGACAACTTTCATTCGTGTCACCAAACAACAGAATGTTGCAGAGAATGTGGTTGCCGAGCAGGGACGTGAGAACCCTGGCTTCCTGCTAGAGCTCTTCATTTAATTGTGTGATTTGTGGCCAGTGATTTACCCTATCCATAGAGGCCAAGTTTGGGGAGTTAAAAATCTCAGGGTGGAAATCTCAGTTCTGCCACTTGCTAGCTGTATAACCTTGAGCCAGTTACTTCCTCTCTCTGAGTCTCCTTTCCATCATCTATAAAATGTAGATAACAAGCACACGGAGGAGGACTATGATGGGGATTAAGTGAGAGAATAGGATAAATGCTTAGTGTGTTGCCCAGCAATTAGAAGAGTAAATGTTAACTCTCCTTAGCCACATATCTACAAAGTTAGAAGGTGGATTAGATATTCTCTAAGGCTTTATTTCACTATGAATATTTTATAATTATGTAGCTTGAGAAGTTTCTATTTTTTCCTTCCATTAATAGCTATGTGACATACTTCATTTATGCTCTACTATATTTTCACAAAACGTACAACCTTTCCTATTCAGTTCATTAGGAATAACTCATTGGTCTTAGCATGAGGGCAGTTAATCAGTTTGACCACTAGATGGTGGTTAAACTCTTACGGTCTCTCAGTTGGTAGATTATTTATACTGACCAATTATTAGAAGACGTAAAATGTATAAAATATGGAACTTCCAAGTTGGAAGGCCATCTAACCTAATTTGAACGGTTTGAAGAAGTTGGCACGTAGAGGTGAAATGAGTTGTTCAAGGTCACACAGCCATTAGTTTTCGACTTTGGAAAAGAATACAGTCCCAGTTTGGGCCAATGATTTGTTTTCTCATTACACTGCAAGAACTGTACCAGAAACACAGTATGGTATGTGGCTGCTTGGGGCTTCTGCAGGACTAACCTGTTCGTCTCACACCTGTCTTTGATGGTGTCATAAGAAAGCTTTGAGTACTCCCTCTGTTCCTTTTTTTAGGGGGATTATGTCTGCTTTTTATCTTAACAGTCGTTTTCTTTGGGATACCCCTTCTCCCCCACTTATATGAATGTGATGTTTTCAGACATTAATGGCTAACAGGATATAGCTAGAAACACAATGTTTTCGTACGAGAAAAATGTACAGAGTAACCAATATCGTTTTTCCACCTTCATATCTCTCCAGTGGCCTCACATTCAGTGTCCTTACTCTTAGTGATATTATAACCATTAGGGAACTCCTACTCGGTATGGAGGAATGTGTCTCATTGGTACATAAATTCTTTCTGCTCCTGCAGTGTTTTGTGTGTGCGTGCATGCATGTGTGTTATGTGTGTATGTACAAATGCCTCTTGTAAATAACATTTCCTTCTATGACTTTTCCACTACTAACCAAACAAGACATCAACAGATGATCACAAAGAGAAAACAGTGCATCCTATAGCCAGGACTTATTTCCATATTCAATATTTTGCCGTCTTTCTTGATTCGTACCTAATCTCTCATGCACTATATAAAGGGAGATGGAAAAATGGAAGTAGATAGGCAAACTTGGAACTTTGAGTCTAGAAGGAGCCTTCAAGAAGACAATCTGTTCTGCTCAGAAAATGGTGTCCATTTCCCGAAGTCACAGAGCTAGTGCTAGATGGGATCGGCCTAGAATCCAAGTCGTTCCACATCAGTGTCCTGTAGACCGACTCTGCTGTCGCCTTGTTCCTACAGCTTTGGAACCCACTTGGGTCAGGGTCAGATGCTGATTCAGTGCAAGATGAAACCAGGGTATGCTCTAAGATTATTTAAACTTGATGGGTCTCTGCAAGATGGCCGTGGATGTCCTTATCCTTGCTGCATGGATTTCGGCACATCCAGGATGGCTAGATGGGATACTTTGTATGATTCTGACAGCAACTCATTTTGCCTAATGGTGCTACTGATACTGTGAAACCAAAAATGTCCCACATCAAGCATCCACATTTGAATTATCCTGGATCTACTTAATCTATGCTGGTAGAATGTGTATAGGGCAGTTATCTTTGTTGACGGGAAATATTTCACCAAATTAAGGGGTGGAATTTGAAGCCAATGAGCTGCCTTTAGTTGACTGACTAAATGTTTATTTTTCATCAGGGAAGTTTCCAAAACACTCTTCATGTGGTGGTGGGAGATCCCCTACCGCAGAAGGCTGCCAGCTAATTGACGGGTTGGGTTGTGTTTGGCATGGTCCTCTAGCTTCCAGGAAGGTGAGGAAGCAAAAAGCAGCATCCATCCAGCATTTGAGATATTTGAGTTGTTTATGTTGATTCTCCTCTCAGGTCCATAAAAGGTGGCTGCGATTCCTCCCTTTCTGAGCCTCGGCCAGCTCGGTCCGGCCGGGCCTTCTTACTCAGAGTCCTCCGCGCGGCCCTTCCACTCCAGCTTCTCCTGTTGCTCCTCATCGGGCTCGCCTGCCTCGTACCAATGTCAGAGGAAGACTATAGTTGTGCCCTCTCCAACAACTTTGCCCGGTCATTCCACCCCATGCTCAGATACACAAACGGCCCTCCTCCACTCTGAACCAGGCCGATGCCAGCCGCATGTGGAGGATTTGGCCCAAAGCAATCCTACGCTAACCCAAAGAGGACCTGCATCTTGGCGAATGCCCTGGGTGTGGCAGCGTTAGCCCTCCTCTGTAGCCTCTGTGTGCAAATCATGGCTTCGGAGGGGGATGGTAAATAATGACAGGAGGAGAGCAGACACGACAGGTTGGGAAGAAATTTTCTTTGAAACTCTGAGCCTCAGCACTAAAGAGATTAAGGACCTCCATTGTTCTCTGGACGCATGAGTTCTGGGCCACTGGCCCATTCTATGCATACCCAAGGACTTCAGTAGACTGTCCGGGCACCTTTCCCACGGTGCTGCTCCATCCATTTGGTAAAGGACTCTTCCAGAATGCCATGTTGGCATCGAACAATCTACCAACCAATCAGTGCTGCAGAGATTTTAGAACCTTGTAACATACAATTTTTAAGAGCTTATATGGCACCTTTCTTTTTACCTTGTTTTCCTTTGGGGCATGATGTTCTAACCTTTGCTTTAGAAGCACAAGCTGTAAATCTAAAAGGCACTTTTTTAAAGGTATAAAGAAAAACTGGATGTAATAAATAAGATCATGGAAGGCTTTATGTGGAAAAAAAGTTGAATGTTATAGTTAAAAAAAAGATATTTATGTATGTACAGTTTGCTAAAGCCAAGTTTTGTTTGTATTGATTTCTTTGCATTTATTATAGATACTATAAAATATTTTGTCTGTGCTTTTTTTCTTCCCCTTAAACAAATGACTCTAAATTTACCTATTAGGCAGACCCTTATCAGAATGTAACCTAAATGATCGTTTTTGCAGAATGAGTGAAACTGAAACATAAGTATATGTTAAGAGGATGATTACAGGTAGTGCACATTTAGACATAAAGGATTCTGGATGCTTCCTTTCACCCTCCTTTCCCATAGCTAGTGGTATCTCCTGACCTCTTACTCCCCAACACCTTTCACAGCCCCCTTTCTTCTCTATCCCCTTTGCCCAGTTGGAAGAAACCCCATTTAATCTCCTGACTGAGACCCTGTCTCCACTCCATCCTAAGGATCCACAATAGCCATGTGGATCTTCCTAAAGCATTCTTGTTCATGTCCCTACTGTATCCAAAACCTATTGCTTTTCGTTGTCTACCAGAAGAAATACGGTTTTCATTCATCATTCAATTCCACATACAGTAAGATTTTACTCTGCCCTTCTGATCTTGCCAAGCCTTGGCCCTCGTGGAATTGTTTGGTGCCCATGGTGTTTTAGTCCATCCTTGGATAATTGGAAGAGGAAGGTTTATGTAAAGCCCAGGTCTCCAGCTCCTCCTGAAAATGGAAAGCTCCGATGTATTAGGTGCATATTCCTGCGTGACAATAATTGCCGGGGTGATGTGGTTTCTGTCCCCTGAAGAACAGGAAGAGACCACTTCTACATTCGCTCTTCTACCCTCTCAACTCCTGTCACCACTTGCACCGGTCTAACTCCTGTAGGTATTTCGTTTACAAATCCTGCTCGCTGTGGACAATTTCAACAAAGCGGAGGTACTCAAAATTGCCTGAAACTGCCTGCTGCGGTTTCCATGATATCTGTAGCCTGAATGCCATCTCAGCTCGGGTTCCTGAGGTTTACTAGGTTTCCCAATTCCTAGGATCACTGCAGACCTTCTCATCCTATCCCTGGGGGTACCACCTGGCAGCTTGCCTGAGGTGAGTGTAGCTCTACTGACTGTTGAAAAGCACTGCCTTGTACTGTCTTACCTCCACAGTTTTCTTCTCACTGCTCCATGTCTCCTCTCTCCCAAGACTCGCCTCACAAGCCACCATCAGGAAGACTTTCCTGATCGCCGTTGGACTATCTTTAAGACTTCCTTCTACTGACCTTTCCTCACGTGGCTGTTCTGCTTTCTACTGTCAGGTTATTCCTGTCTCATTCCCCATGAAACCCCGCTCAGGGATCAGATCGGAGTTGCGTTGTTCTTTTTTATGGAAGAGAAACCTGTGCTGAAGCCTCCCATCTTCCTGCTTCTGGAAAGGCGATGAGCAGTGGCTGAGATTGGAGCTGCGGGCAGCCTCACCTGAGATTGGGCCTCAGTCCTCCCTCACTTCCCTGCCACTCCTGCTCCGAAATCCAAGAAGTGGTGGGCCGGCCTCAGGAGCAGTCCAGCCCTTCCAGACACACACGTTGCCCCTGTTAGGGAAATCGCCACACAATGAGGCATTAGTCATGGAAAAAACCCAGCATCACGAGACTGCAGAGCCGTCCCTTCTCCACATTATGATTCACTGACTCACTAGGCATCTCCCATCACTGAAGACAAGTGTTCCATGTGGCTGAGAAAAAAGTCCGGTTTTAAGAAAAATCTTGAGTGTCGTCTTTTTGTGCCATTCTAAAAACCACCGTGACACACACAGGGTTGCATGACTCGTGTTCCTATTAAACTTTAGAAGACTCAGACAATCCAGCATCGGAACAGAACAAAGTGGAAAGTTCTGGCGAATGTTAGCATTGAAGAAGCCACGAGGCCATGGCTTCCCCCAGGTGGTGATATGACTGGTCTAGTGAGGACCACGCCAGCCACAGTCGGGTACCTCTGCCTGAAGCCCTCACTCCTACCTACCTTTTGAGGAGGGGGACGCCGGACAGCATTAGGAGCACCCTTACCTGTGCCGCCAGCTATCCTGTTAACAGAGACAGAGAACATGTTCAGCAAAGGCTTCGGGGACAAGATGAGGCTTTTAAAAGAATGTACAGGGGGTTGAAGGGCCCTCATTCCTGGAGTAAGGACTGTCAGGAGCCCTGCTGTGGCCTGGAGGTAGCGGGTGATCCTGAGGGTAGTGAGTGAGGAAGAGAGGCCATCAGCTGACCAGGAATATAGAGTTAATTACATTTGGATCATGAGATTTGCACAAGCAAACAGAAAATGTTAGAAATGGTGAGGAAAGAGAAAGTCCAGAGCTAACATGGAGAAACGAAGGTTTGGAAAAATAAAAGCAGTGACTTAACAGGAACCCCAGGGAAGAGTGAAGGCTTTTCTGGAAAACTGCCCCTGGGGAGCAGGAATGTTGCTGCCTGGAAAATGGGGTGGCAGCCGCTTCCCTTGTTTTTGTAAGAAGAGAGAAGAGATACCTTCAAAAGGCTTGGGTGAGAAATTCAGCAAGCTGTCTGAGATTTCCTGTACAAAAAGGAAAAGATCTTCCTGTAAAAAAAAAAAAAAAAAGGACTGATTTATAGCCTATTCCCTGGGGCCAGTTATTAAGAAACTAAAGCTACAGAATTTTATTGACAAGCCACAGAAGAGACCGTAAAGCAAAAATAGGTGAGGCGAGTTGATGTATGAAAACTGATCACGGCCAGAAACACAGGGTCTCCAGGAGCTGGTGTGGATGGGCCCAAGACCAGTCCTAAGAATTGGGATCTCTGCCCCCGCCCCCACCCCCAGCGTCACCGGCTAGTCCAGCATCACCAGTGTGTCCTCGGGGAACTGTGTGGCAATGTGAGTCTTAGAGCATGTGCACAGTAGGTTCCAAAACTCCAGGCAGAGGAACATCCCCTCATATCATGGTGTTTATCAAATGTTCACAACGGTGTATGACCTGTCTCAGACCTCGGGAGGCCAGTCTTAGCCAGGACCCCGTCACTTCTTGTTTAATTACCCATTGAGGCAACCCTTACAGTGCCTTTGACATACAGAAGAACCTGTACTTTCCTCCACCGGTTATATCCCGAAACTTGGGGTGAGCGCAACTGAGGAGACTAGAAGGGAACCTGATAGAAATGATATCTGACTTAGGGGAGAAAAAGGAGATTAAGTCTGTTAGATCCGTCTTAATTTTCTGTCAACAAATGTCTTCTCCCTTTAACTTCTTTGTCACCTGATTTCTGTTGCAGTGGGGTGCGTTTCTGAAGAGCGTGAATGTTAGTCTGTGGAAACGGAGACAGGTGCAGTGATGTACGAGCCTGAAGGCCATTTCCAGCTTTGTCACGTGCAGCACCAAGTTTGGGCGATGCGAAGGGGCGTTTCACCAGGAGTGGTCATTTACATTTTAGATTTAATAATACGCTGTGATAATAGACTGGTTGTCAGACCTAAATTAATCCAGAGACGATGAAACTTAAAAGGAATGGCTTTTATTTTTCAGTTCCTGGCTTCTCACTAACCTCTCGCCCAGAGTTTAAAATATCTGCCGGGAATCCATTCGGGAATGCCACAGGGGATCCTGAAATTTGGGAAGAATCCTCCTTCAGAGGAGCAAGTGGAAGAACTGAGTGAGTGGGAGGCACTTGCTGGCCCTGAGTGGGACATTGGGCAAAGGCAGGCGCTGGAAGAATTCGTTTGAACTGTGTTGAGGAAGGCGCATCTTGGAAGGCTAGAGAAGTCAGACAGTTGAGAATTTCTAATAAAAACAAGGCGGGATGCATGACACCATGGCACACACTGAACAACGAGGGACATTTCAGCTGGGGAGCTGAGGAAGCCGGTTGGGATGTGGACATCATCCTTCCAAAATATGAAGGCCCCGCAAAATAAGTCAGCCTTGCAATTTTGTTTTTAACCTGTGACCTGATACGGGAGCAGGAACTGACTTTGAAAACCGCGATTATCAGAAGAAGGTCCTTGGTCGGCTGTGCCACACCTTGACTGCGTTGATGCCACAGGTCTCCCTGCTGAATCGTAGTTTCAGGGCCTCACAGGTGCACCTGCCAAGCCCAGGTCCAAATCCTGCTGGGCACATCCTTGAGGCATTCGCTGGGCTCAGAAGGTAAAGCTGCCGAGCGGACGACACCATGGACAGTTCCAAGCAGTCACCCCAACATGGCTTACCTCCTGTCCCCGCCACACCCCTCTGTGGAATTTACAGGGATGCCTTCCGCTATAAACCAGCCTGCCCAGGCCAGTGGGCTCCAAGTGCAGCTCGGATCCACAGCATCAGTGCCGCCTGGGAACTTGTTAGCGAGGCACCACTTCGGGCTCTAGGCCACCATCTGCCCCAGATTT